GGAATGCTGTTGAAGACAGCTAGTCCCTTTTGTACTTTCAAGTTGTTTTGTCCACGGTTGCTTTGTCCACTGTTCCTTCAAGACTTTCCATGTTACAATTTTGCTGAGGCAAACAGGTATACTGCACCTATTGAATCTGTTCTTGTCTGGTCTGCTGAGGACAGGTTTGTGTAAGAAACCAGTATGTCTAGATGCAAAAGGATCTGTCTGTCAGTGACAGGCCTGCAAGTTGCCAGATCACAGTGAAGGGCAGCTGAAATTCATTCCACAACACTGATAAGCAAATGATCTCTAGATACCTCTGAGATCACAAAGCAATTTAGGAAAGGCTTATTAGTAGCGTGAGGTTATGAATTAAAACAGACACATGTGAGGGAATTCCTGTGCAAGCTGACGGAAGTGGATTTTTGATGCTCCTTACAGTTAAGTGATGTCTAAACATTGGGTCAAGATGGAAACATCTGGGAAAGAGAAAACAGAAAAAAAATAGAAGAAATTTTACGGAATGACCTTGTACTATGCAGATGTCTGCTGTTCGCTACAGTCAGAAGACTGAGTTGATGCACTAAAGGCAGTTGTTCCTGCGCTCAGCGCCAGTGATTGACCTTTTGTCTTCTCCCGCTCTGCTGCAGTTAAAGGGAAGTGTTTTGTGTCAGCCACATGGGGCTGAGCTACACAGCTCTCTTGATTTATAAGCTAGTCCGTTTTATCTTGTGTAGCAGTGGGCTAGAGCCACACAAATCCTGTAGCTCACCAGAGACCTTGTTTGCTTTCTGATTGGCCACACCTGTATTTATGGACCACTTGCTGGAAAGGTGGGGAGCCGACCAAGTAGTTTTGTCTCTTTCTTTAAGAGAGTTCTCGCTGACTTTTAAAAAAAGTTCTCGTGAATTCTCTAGACTTTATAATCATAAGATCCATTTATAGCCTTCAGTTACCAAGCAACAAAGGACAAAGTACTGAACCTTTCCACTCCTTAATAAGTTGCACGCTAGCGGGCTGGTTTTGCTGGGAAAATAATACGAAGCCATGAATTCCCGTAACATTTTTAAAGCTTTATTTCTGTTTTCTCAATCTAAGCTCAGGACAGTGGGTTTTTACACTGAGTGTTTTAGAAACTCCCTGGCCGTACCAGTGCAGAAAGCAGATCTATGTGTGACAATGTCTGAGCTCTAACTTAGTCACCTGTTTTGATCCCAGTGTCCGACAATATGATGTTAACTTCAAAAGCCTAATTTTTCTGGTTGCAGACTGGAACCCTTCATCCTACTGTCCTGATAATTAATGAAGCCTTAATGACACGTATGAACTACTCTATCATCTTCCCCTGCACGTCCTCTTTCACCTTGCGTTTTCTGTCACAGTGACTAGATTTCCGAGCAGAAGCGTAACCCATGTTACACGCGAGACATTCACTTGTGTTAGGACGGATTTGGTTTTCCTGTCTGTAACACGGTGGGCAGCATTACTTGTTCTGCAGTACTGAAGCAGACTTCAGATTCCACTGTCAGTATTTCAGTCTTCTTCACATTTTTAAATACAGGGCAAGATGTACATGGAGTCTTGGAGAATCCCACGGTAGACACAAGTATGTTGGAAGAATTCATCAGTAGTGACTTTGAGTTTGGAGCCTTGTAAGTACTGAAGCAACGTGCACTTCTACTCCTTAGCAACATTTCTTAAATTCTGGTTTCATTAGTGCATTGGTAAAATCTGAATGCAGCGTTCAGACTCAAAATCTGCAAGTTTTTTTTTTTTTTTTTGATAGGAGTCTGGCTCCTGTTTGATAAATTTACTTACTTGAAACTGTGTAAGATGACTTGGAAAAATGAATTAGAGGTGGTAATGGAAATATGGTTTTCTTGTAGTTCAACAAAATGAATGAGAATGAAGTCTAGGATAATTCAAAACTGTTACACTAATTATGGCATTAAAGCAGAGCTATTTTAATATAACTGTAAGTACTAGTTTAGTGTGTGTGTACCGAGTTAACAGATACAAGTATGACTAATATATTATGTGAGAGTAATGTAAATCTTCCAGTTTGAGGGGGAAAGGGCTAAATCCTAATGCTTGATTTAGAAAAGAGAAACTATCCATTAATCTTTTCTGAGACTAATTTTCTGAGTTACAAAGGATAGATAATGCAAAGGGCCATGGGCAAGGGTGGAAAGTTATGCAACACAGATCTATCGAAGACTCATTCATGTCTACAACTGCCAGATGACTGTTGTTAAATACAAAATATTATTATTAACAAGCTGACTTTTGCCAAGAGGCAGAGCAAGAGGGGATGTTTAAAAAATAATTAAACGGTCCACAGCATTTTTCATTCTGGACGCACTCAGGCACTGCATATTTACAATGGGCTAAACAGGCTTTTACTCACTCTAAATCATGAATAATGACTTGATCCTATCTCTGCTCACACTCATAGAAGGAAAGAAGAGTGGAAGGCTTGCTGTACATAGATATTCATGACCTTTGTTGTTATAAAATAAATGTCTATGTCTGCTATTATGTAGCTCAAGTGGGTTAGACATATATAGTTGCAGTGCTCTGTAAGTATTTATGTGCAAGACAATAATCTGTAAAGCTACCATACGTTTGGAGGCTCAACAGGTTTTTATACTGATAGTACAGTAATACTTCATTAGTTACGGGATGAGGAAGAACATTTATTGAATCATTACATTTCTATATATAACATTATGAAGTATTTATCTGTACTGCAGATTATTTGTGTATAAACAGAACAGAATTGCATAGAAAAATTTGCCAAAATGTGGCAAATGGCAAAAAAATGGAGTGGCTTCACATATGTAAAACGCAGATGAACAAAATGGCATATACAATACTGAATGCAGAATGCAAAGGAAAGGATGCTGTTACCATTAAGGACTTGAGCGCATCTGGAACGCTCCATAAAAGGTTGTTTCGCTTCAGACAGGCCACTGGCTTTACACTTATTCTCTTATACCACACAGGAAGCACCATGTGATTTCCTCCTTTTTGCCACAGTAAGGGCTTACTGTTCAGTGATGAGAGGAGGAAAAGGGTTATACTTTTTCCCCTGTAGTTATTTAATCATATACTGTGTTTGTAATATAGAATTTTTTAAAATAACTTTTTTCTTTCTTTAAAAAAACACAAACCCTTTGCAGTTGCAGGTAAGTTTTGACTAGAAGACATATCCCCACTGCATCTGCACTTCATGAATACTTTCTTCTTTCTAGAAAGTGTTTATAAGTATGTCTCTGTATTTTATTAGAGCTATTCTAATGTAAAACAGACACTGAGTCAGTACCCAAGGCAGCATTTGAAACTAGGAATATTTAGAAGGGAAGTTTACGAGTTTTACGGTTTTAAGTTTTACAAGGCACGTTTGGAATTCAGTAACTGCGAACTGAGTATCCCACGTAAGACGTGACTGAAAAGTATCCCAACTCACTATAGTTTGTTAGAAATTGAAAACAATGAATACAGCAATAGACATGTTACTGAAAAGCTTTAAAAACCTTTCCTGTTCTGAAGGGAAATAATGGTTATTGGAATATTCCACTAATGCAGAATATATATATATGTGTGTGTGTGTGTGTGTATATGTATATGTGTGTGTGTATATATATATATATATATATATTTTTTTTTTTTTGGAGGAGCAATCATGCTTTCGTTGGAAGGCTAACCCAAAATGTAGGGTTGGGGATGTGTTAATTTAAAAAAGCAAGAGGAATACCGTTATGAAACACACAAGGATGTTGTAAAGTGATAGGCCATGACAAAAATGAATCTCTGTTATCTCTCATGCCATCCAAACTCAGAAATATAAAACTGAAAAGCAGAAACAGTAGAAAGCAAATTACATCATGGACATTTTCCTTTGATATTCAAAGGAATTTGTTGTACACGTGGAAACACCTGTGTTTTCGTAACATGAGGATGTCCCTTTAAGCACTGTTGTTGTATTCGTTTTCCGCCAGAACATTGGGCCTTAGCGAAGGAGGTTGCAGCCTCACAAAATGTCCTCGTAGTGTTTTTAGCCTAACAGATCTTAAGCACTGCTCTTGCAGGTAGTACTTAAAAGTGAGGGTTGAGACTACAATTCTGAGAGGGTTAAGAGCCCATTTCTGAACTGCCATCTCTTCCTAATGTAATTCAGGAACCCTTTATCGTTCCTTTAAACGGTAATGAGATAGCACGGGAATTTTTCGGCTGTAAGCTGAAAACACCGCTCTGAAGAACTGAACAACTTGAAATAAAGAGGTTAGGAAACGTGACAGAGCGGTGTCTGTCCCCGACAGACTGGGGATGGGAGCATAGTTATCTGCCCGCGACTTAAGCTAGTCCAGTTTCCAACAGAGGAGGAATAAAGCAGTTTTGCTGGACAGCCTGAGTTTACCTGCTCGTTGCTGCAGGCTACTTGCGAAGGCCTTGGCGTTGCTTAAACTGTGGCGGGCTGCCAGGTCTCTCAGAAAGTCTGATAGGAGAAACCGTGTAAGCACAAAACGTTGGCACGGAGAATTGTGCCAGAGGGTGAACGATCCCCCCCAAGCTTCTCTCAAACCTCAGGCGCGTGACTGGGCTGAGCCAGCGGAGGCAGGTCGAGTCACAGACTGAGAGCGAAGCCCCGCGCGGCAGCGGCACGCGGGGAAGCAATCGCTGCTTCTTCCCCCAAGAGCAGGAGGAAGGTGCCCTGGATTTACTTGTGGGCAAGACGCAGCGGGGCTCAGAAATCTCCAGAAGCAAAGCAGGGGTGGGGACTCCGTGTTTCTAGAGACCTGCCTGTTCGATTGATACAGCGCCAGGGAAAACTTTAAAAAAATAAATAAATCACAGAGCTAGGCAAAGCGCTTTGGAAAGTACCGTGGGGAAAGCACTAACGAGCGGCTCCCTGCTGCGTCCTCCCAAACTGAACTGAAACGTGTACGTAGGAACGGCAAGAGGGAAAGTAGCTTGCCCGAGCGCCCCGTGGAAACCCCATGTTAAACTTCCTGCCGATGTGCCCGGAGGTAAGCGCAAGAACGGCCGCTAGGACGGACGGACGGACGGATGGACGGACGGAGGATGAAAGTCGGCGAGTCCTGGCGGCGGGGCCGGGGCTGCTGCGTGGGGGCGAGGTGGAGGGCCACGCGAGGTCTCCGTGGTGGTTATTGCTCCTGCGAGGAGAGGCAGCAACCACGGTGAGTGGTGCTTCCTGGAGGCCGTTTTCAATAGCTTGGTGGTCCCCCTGGGTGCTTTCTGCATGGCCTAGCCGTCGCTGTCCACATCTCCTCCCAGCAGGAGTTAAAAATCTCTTTTTCATCCCTAGGCAGAGCCAGTTGCCAGACTCTCCACCGGACTCGGGGTCGGAGCCATGCTCTCCGCCGCAGCTGAAGGGTATGTGACGTGAACTCTGCCTCTGGCAAGCTGGCAGCAAGGTCCTCTGCTCTCCACTTACCACCTTCTTTGCTCCTTGCAGCCACGCGGTATGACACTACGTGGCCCTCTGGGCTGCATGCTCCGCTCCCGTTCCCATCCGCTGTGGCACCTAGCAAGTTTCCCTGGAGGTTCCCGGAGACCTCTGACCCTGGTGTGAGCGGACATCCCTGTGGCATCCCCCAGGGCTGCTGTCTGAAGACGGAGAACGCTGTGACTCCTTGGAATAATTCTGCGTCCTCCAGCTGCTTGAGTTTCAATTATTCATACTTGCAGCCAAACGTACCTCAGACTTCTGGGTAAATGCTGAAACTTTTACATAGGAGATGAGACAGATACAGAAAACTGGACCTGCAAAAAACCACGTGGTTTAAGAGTAGTGTAAAATCCCTGTAGGTGCAGGATTTTCCACAGGATGGCAGTATTTAGACATTTTTTGGGACGCCTGTAGTTGCGAGTTCTTTAAACATCTTGATTCAAATTCAACTTAAACTGAGTTGGAATGGATTTAAGTTTAAAAAAGTTTGCGAGGCTAAAGAAGGATCAGCTGCATAACTGGCTTATAAAAATATTTAGGAGTTTTACAATGTCTATTGCAGGGTTTTGTCCGTAAGGGTCTTCTGAATATTCCGACATGTGGCACGAGGAGGAAAAAAAAGAACTTGTCTTATCCATTTAACCGAGCAAAGTGGTATTCATATACCATCTGCTATGTTTACTCACCTGCATGTTCTGGATGCTTAATTATTGAGAAAAATACTAGGTAGTGCAAGCATCCAAGCATGATGCCTAGTAAGAATGTTTTGATTGATCCAGGCCACAGGGGGAATCTCTCTGGTTGCTGAGAAAGATGATAAATTCGTCAGCGTTAGTCTTGGAGTTGCAGATTGTCTGTCTCTTTTGCATAGAGCTTAATTACATGTTACACAAAGGACGTGGGTAAAGCAAGCTAGCCCTGGGTTTCTCAGTGAAGCTCTTAAGGTTTTCTTTTTTTGTTTGTTGTCCAGACGAAAGTGCCAGTTAGTCAGAATCAAATAATTTTCTGATACTTCAGTTTGTGGAACTTCTGACAGAAAATACGTCTTGACTTAATGTGAAATTTTTGAACAAATCCAGAGAAAGATTAACAATTGATGTGCTGGACATGCTTTTCCTCTGCTTGTGGAAAAACCCTAGTTTGAGTACAAGTTTGGCCTGACTGAGAGCTGGGTTGTGGTTTCGGGTGTTGCTCCGTTCAGACAGTGACCAGATGTCACAATATTCTAGGTTAGGTTTTATAATATCAAAATTTTGGAATTTAAGTTTTTCCCTTTGGAGAAAAGAGCAGTTTTTGAAATCTCAGTTTCTGAGAAGGGGGAAAAGTATTTCCCAACGTTGTCCCTTGAAATCTTCTCATCAATGCGTTAGTTTAACTCCTAAAGGTCTTTTTGTTTACTTAATGAGAAGGAGAGTTCACTTTCAAGATATTATTCAAGATAAATTCTATTGCAAATGTCAGAAAACAATAAAACCCTATCTTGTATGCAGTGTGCAATTTTTTAAAAGAGAATATATGGAACAAAAAATATTTATTGGAAGGAAATACTCCATAAATCTATTTGTAAAAGCCAACCTCTCCCCTGCCCCAACAATCAGAATTTGTATTGTCACTACAATACAGTTAGAATGAGATACCTAAGTGTTCTCTTGTAATGATTCTGTGTTCTCCATGTTAAACTTAAATGAGTAATGTAACATATATTTTTAAAAAGTATTTCTGCAGCATCAGCAAAAAAAAGGAAATTCTCACAATTTTTGGGAGATACCACTGATTCTCCAGTATGGACTAGCAGCTCCAGGCAAGGTAAGCAACTGTGTGAAGATGAAATGTATTATTTCATACCATGGGCAAGTGAACATTTTAAAAGCAGAGCTCTTAGTGGCTCTGAGAAGGTAGCAATATTAACAGTCTGTACTCTGCTACCGGATTTGGGCCAGTTTTTCTTGTCTATGTTTTCAAAAACAAGCAACTCTATATATTTGGACAAAGGAGGTGAAGTGTTAGAGGTCTGTGCTCCTTGAGTACTATCTAGCTGAAATATTCTGTCCTTCCTCTGCACTGGAGCCTGCAGAACACAGATGATACCATACTCAGCTGACTTACTTCGTGCTAAATTGCCTGGGCAAAGAAACCATCTTGGGTCAGTTTAATAGGGGATTAATGTGGTAGATGAGCAAACAGATTTCAGCTTTATTGTCTGATTTATCAACTCTGTATTTTTTTCCACAAAGCGTATCCAAGCGTATCCAGCTTGGTAAAAACTGTATGCTCCTCTCCACTCCTTCCCCAAATTAATTGATTTAATCAAAATAAAAATGCTCAGCCTATACTGATTGTTATGTATACAAAAGCTTATAGGGCATGTGCAGGAATGGATCAGCTTCTATGGTGTGGGAGGCTATCTAAGAATCAACAGTTCATAATAAACAATTTATCTGAGAAATTTCAGCCTCGTCTGTTAGTGGAAAATCTGAGAGTTGCTTGTCACTTCTTCAGACCAAATTATTTCTAAGTCAATCTTTTAGTAGGTTCCTTTAATGACTAGCAAGTGGGTTTACTAGACTAGCTTTCCTTCGTTATCTTTTGTTTGATCGGTGTTACTCCATTGTGACTGATCCTCTAATTCTACCCTTGTTGGAAAGAGAAGACAAGCAGTTCCAGAGCAAACGCTTCTGTATCTGTTTACAGTTGTTGCTGTTCCTGTTTTTGGTACTGAAATATGCTTTCTCCAGGAGTCTATGTTAGTAAAATCTGACCGACACAAATGCGACTGGAAAAAGAACATAAATGTGTGTAAAAGGGCATGAGAATCATTTAGAAATGAAGTGTGAGTTTTTGTACTGTGGTTTTTTTTTTCTCCATTTTCACCATGCTGCCTGTCAGAAACGTGGTGCTGCAAATGAAAGCTTGGAGCTGAAATTATTCCTGTAGTGGTCGTCTCCAGCAAACTACGCTGCCTCAGGCCATGAAAGGATCTTAGCTTATATGGTCACTGGCGTGTTTTTTCTTCTCCTTACTGCAGTTCATTTATCTGTCTCTCTTGTCACATTCTCTTCTGTCTTCATGAAATGTATAATACCTCAAAGAATTATGGTTGACCCTGTTTATTTCAGAATGCTATGTTGTGCAGTCAGAAATCATTAACCAGTCAACCAGCTGTGGTGATGAATGTAGTTGTTATGGAAAACTATGTCTCCTGCTCTAGAGCGAAGTACCTGTTGCAGTGAGCAGGAGTACTGTTTGATGGTAACATGCAGTAGAGAGAATAGGAAACATCTATAATTTTTTTGCTTAAGTCTTATTGCAATGTTGCAGATTTATGATGAAATACTTAGTTTACCACTGTGTTTTTTTTGAAAAGGAAACTGTCCTCCCTTTTGGAGAAAATAAAATAAGATGTGCTACTTGTGTAATATTTTCCAAATCAGGAAAGCTAAAAATTTTTTTTCTGGGACAAGGGAATACAACATAATCTTTTTGAATAGCTGCAGATGAAAATCAGATTTAAATATACATGCAATGTATTTGTCTATGTTTTATAGGTGTGTGTATATATATGTAAATATATGCATAGAAATGTTTATGCAAGATTTCTAGCTAGTCACAAAGCTAATAACTAAATTGTCGCTATCTCTCTACAGCAAGTGTTAAGGACTGTGCTCCTGGAGTGCAAGAATATGACAGTGATGGACAGAATGCCGCTTTGGACAAATGCTGCCAAGCTCTAACCTGGCAACCATATCAAACTTCCCAGTGGAACAGCTTATTTAACTCTAATCATGAAAAACTGTAAGCACTGATGTTGCATTTGGAAAAAATGTATTATTTTCCTTTTTTGCTGGTACTGCTGTTTTGCAGGAATAAATGCTGACTTGGCATCCTTTGTTCTTACTGAAAATAGGGCTGGAGTAGAGGGCATAGCAGTCATGGAGTCAGAATCACTGAACACTTGTTGAACATGATACCAAATTTTCTGATTCCCCTTCAGGGATGTTGAGATAAAAGAATAACAAGTTTAACCTTAAATACCTTGTTATTTTTGTTTCTTTTGTCAACAAATTGCACCTTTTCCTGTAATGACTTAAAATATTTTTTTAAAAAAGAAATCTCTGTTATCTCTTGGCTCATATAACCTGACTCTCCTAACTATAGATGTATATAGTGTGCTTCTGTTTAATCAAAGACTTAGAGTTTTCCTGTGTAAATCAGAACTAAAGTCAGATTTTTTTGCTGTAAGATTTAGGAAAGTTCATTCCAGATTCACTTTCCATCCCTGGTTTTCTACATTGTAGAGTTTGGTGAATGATCCCTTTTAACTGAAGCCCCTGTGTAGTAGCTTGTTTATTCTCCAGAGTTGGAGCAAACAATTTGTCACTGTCTACACCTAAATAGCAGGACCTAAATAGCACGGTACATTTGAATTTTCCTCTAGCTCAATATGTCAAAAGCACACATGGCAGACTGGAGTCAGTGCATGTCAGTGCTGGACTCTGACGTTCCTTCTCTGTGCGCAGTGTGATAGGGGAATACACATCTTACTGTGTCCCACAAAATTCTTTACCTAAAGGAATGACATGATGAAAGAACAGGCGGTTTTCAATGTCTGCACCTTTCTACCCCTTGGGAGCTAGATGGGCCAAGAAATCTCCCAATGCTTCCAGACGTTTGTGACATGGATTGTTACTCTAAATGGAAGTGGTCTTCAACTCCTGATAAATCTTATTTATGCTTTTGGTCAACGACTACATTAAAGCTATGAGCTGGTGGTGGGAGACTCCACCTCCTGCAGCTAACCCAATTACTGTGTCTCGTATACTCAGAACTTAAAACTGAGGTTCCAGGTGCACGTTTCTTGGTGGCTTCTGTCAGCAGAGATACAACGATGTGCTGAGCAATAAACATCAAATACATATGTTGTTACCATTACTGTGGAAGGGGATGGTGATATTATTTGCAGAGGAAATCAGGGTTATATTTAGGTGAGATCCTAATGCCAGTAACCTTTGCTTCCAGATGCACTGTAATTGTGACAAAGTGCACAGATTTTCTCTGATTAGTGATCTTGTACTCTCTTAGCCTCAAGAGAGACAGATGCCTATCGCTGCTCAGTGTAGACGGATTGATCCTGTACCTCTTGAAATTGCTGTGTGGTCTTTAAGAGCGTTTCTCATGTTTATTATTATTTTCTGTTTTATTCATCCACTATTTTAACTTTTTGAATATTTCATTTTAACAACCAAATGTGGGTAGCTGTTGGTAGATTTATTAGAAGAGGTTACTCTAACATTAATTATGCCCTGCATTGAGTCTGCTGGGTGCTTTTTTTAGTCCCCCTAAAAAAAGCACTCATTTAGTCACTCATTGTGACTGGCGAGGCTCTGTTCTGAATGTGTAGTCTTAACAGTCAAATTCTAAAGAAAAAGAGGAATTTAAAGTGAATTTCTAGTAGGACAGTTCATGTCAGAGGGAGGGGCCCTTGCTATCTCAAAATTCTTCAAGTTTTATTGTACTGCTAGCTAAGACTGACCATCCTTTGTCTTGCTGACACCTTTTGTAAGATCAGATCAAAATATGCGTTTGCTCTTAGTTGCTGTAAATGGCAAACTCAGAAAATGATAAACATGAAATTCCTTTTTGGAGTCATTGTTCCAAACAATTCTACTTGGAGAAATGGTGATCTGTACTTCTGCTTCTCAGCCTGCTTTCCTGTGTTTAAGCAAATATCCTAAAATTGCTTTAAGAATATCAGCTTAATGAATTCAATTTCACCTATATCTGAACAATCTATTCCTTTTCCTACTACAAAACACATGCATTTCATGCCTAGACAGAAAATATAGCCTTAGAAAGGTAGAAGAAGGCAGAAGGAAGAACACTAAGGAGTTCTGTTTTGTTAATATCAATGCTTTGAGGACCGGGTAGACACGTTACTGTAGTCGAAGAAGTGAATTAACAGCAGTAAGATTTAGTAGTTTTGAAGCCTTTTGTTTTTGTTCCCTGTGGCAGATTATCTGTGATTGTTTGAAAGGGGCCTTTAACTCATCATTTATAGAAAGCTAATAGAGTCCTGCTACATTTCTTGACAAACCTATACATTTTAATTCTTCCAATTTATAAAGAGCAAATGAGTTCTGAAAAGATGAATGCTGAAAAGCCAACTTCAGTAGTTGTGTTAATGAGAGGTTCTCCAGTAGCATCAAACAGATCTTCATTACCAAACTGTCATTAACAAGGGAATTCACTGTCCGTATAAGACAGCCTTGTCGTACTATTTCAGAATTATCAATCACTGTAATCAGATGACTGGAAGAATTGTTGCAGTGGTGAATTCACTGGCTCTTTTAGAAAGATCTTTGGATACCTTCCTTGTCTGATGTGAATCATAAGGACAGACTACTCCTCTCTCTCTCTCTCTCTCTCTCTCTCTCTCTAAGTGACAAATTAGTCCTTTGAATAAATAGAATAGGATTTCTTTATTTGGAGTAGGATGGGCAACTTTATGAAAGAGAGTTTTGTGGTGACCTGGTGAGAGGATCAGCATCAATAGCTTTACTTTTAGCTTGAGTAAAATCTTATTCACCGTATTCAACCCCAACAGTTTCTGCAGAAGCCCTTGGTATAGGAATTCGGGAACAAAGTAGGGTATCTTACTGGCTTATTATCATGTTGCTGTCTGCAGCAGTAGTTCAGTTCTGTGCTTTATAGCAGTATGATAATAGGTGCTTGAATACACTAAAATGTTTGGTTGTGCTTTTAGGTACGCAGAGTTATTTTGTGTCAGATTTGTGTGTGAGGATTATGTGAACTTCCCCATCTCTGGTGTCCAAACATCTCATGTGTTGGACTAGGATTAGAGTACACTTTCTATATATTTTCATTTTTACACTTCTAAGAGGCTCGAAAGAAAATGCCTGTAGAACTGATGATTGTGAAGAAGTATTTCTACTCCCATTTTTATCAGTAAAAATCAGGTGTGTTTTCAGTCAACAGAAAAAATAGGAACTGAGGTCGCTCAAGTAAATGTACTTGTACTTATGGTTGCTATTTTTCCCTCTTGCTTTCATAGACCTGCCATAGTTTATCATATTGCCACAGACAAAGGATTTAATTTTTCAATAACAGATGATGCCTTTGTGTGCCAGAAGAAGAACCATTTCCAGATCACAATCCACATTAGAATCCCTGGACATCCAAAATATGTCAAAACTCTCCTCGGGGCAAAGCCAATAGAAAAGTTTTACTTAAAGGCCTTTGGAATAAAGGCAAGTATTTCTCTTTTCAGTGCTTCTCTTTTCTTCTTACTAGTTTTCATTAAGAACTATGTGATTATCCATAGAATAAGGTAAACAATTGAAATGAACTCTTTTTATTAGTGATTTTTGACCAAGAACTGACCAAAGACAACTTTTAAAGTTACCAGTGGCTGTTATGTGGAACTTTTTAACAGAATGATGTTTTTACGGATGCTTGTGCTGATAGATGCTGAAAGGTGTCATCTTTACCTGACTTGTGGTTTCACCAGCTTCCCTCTCGTTGGCTGAAATGTTGCCCATTTGTGGGTAGTGCGGTGGTACTAGCTGGTTTTTAAGTCAAAAGACTATTTGAGAAAAACGATTCACAAAGCAAAGAAGAATCAAATCTGTTTTTCCCAAACAATTCACAAGCAGAAAACCAACAAAATTTCCCCGTTTCTTCTTTCCAGGTTTTCCATTTTCATTGTAAGAACCAAATTCTTCCCTTTCAGTTTGGGTCCATAATCTTGCGTATGGAGAAATACTAAGAAATTTCTTTCTTTCTGAAAGATTTTCTCAGGTTTTTTACTTGCTACTGAAATTCAGTGATTTAAAAAAACTATGTAGATGTTGTACAAGGCAGCTAGTACCAGTTTTCCTTAATGCTTTCTAACACATTAACATAGAAGGAATTAGTGAATATTACTGTCTTGTGTTTCTCTTTGAAACAAAGTGCTATTTGCTGGCATTCAAGAAAGGTCCAGACATTTGCATTAAAATAACTTAAGGAACTGCCTTGCCTTGGCTCAATTGTCGTGTTAAATACCTACGTTTATGCCTTGGGAGAGAAACCAGGCAGCAGCAGTTTAGATTCAGGAAGCTATATTTCTTTTGCAAATTACTGTGCAACTTTTCCTTTGATTTCTCCCCTCCCGGCCCCCCCAATTTGTGGCCTCAGAATGACTTAGAGTTTTAGACCAGATGGAACAAAGCACTAGTAAGGTGTCAACTGATAAGGTATCAATTCCCAGGTTAGTTTCTGTGCAGTTCCACAAGAAATGAAGGTGATTCCACTGTTTCAGACATAATTTGGCTATTAATTTCTACTGCAAATCTATTTGTGTGAATATGTAATGTTCTTGTCATTTTCAAAAACTTCTGTTTCTTTATAGGTGGAAGCTCCAAATCAAACAATTGCTATTGAACAGTCTCAGTCAGATCGAAGCAAAAAAACTTTCCATCCTGTTAAGTAAGAATTTTGAAAAATTTACTCTATTTTAATTCAATTTTAATGTGTTATTTCTTGAAAACTCCTACTAGCTCTAAGCCAATCTTCTGGTCTTTATTCAAATTCCACTGCAGGTGAGTGCATAGAATCACAGTACTAATATAGATCTGATTTCCCTCTATTAAGGAAAAATTCAAGCATCTTTACAAATATATTATGTATGCCCAGCCGAAATATTTATATTCAGCTAACATATGGTGTCTAGAGCTGGTTGGCAGATGTATTTTTTTCATGGGTCTTGATGGTGTAGTTTTGATTTATACCAGATGTGAATGCAATAGGTAGGCTGTTGAATTCACCATGCACACTGTTTAATTATATTATTTATCACTTCCAATAGTGATGCCACTATGTATTTCAGATTTAGCTGTGTATTTATACTTTGAGACACACAAATTAGATGCAGGTGAAAAAAAGGGTCAAACTAAAATTTAATACTTTAGTATATAAATTCAGAGCCAATAATAAGCAATATTGCCCTTTCAAGCAACAAATACCCATCATATAGAGCACACATGGTTTATTATATTGAAGACTGTGTACAGACAGACTAAGAAAAACAAGATGACTCCTACTAACAGCAGTTTCCCACTCCTGGTCTCTTGCTTATTTATCTCCTTGACATAGTCACTGTGATGGATAAACGTGACTGGAGTGTTTTGCCTGAGAATTGTGAGAGAGAAAGGAAATGCATTACATTAGTATATGCTAGAGTTATTGTATTTATACTAGTGCTCCTCTGTTGCTTTTTCATTTGTCAGGTGTTTTTTAGGATTATTTTAATGAGCATGAGGAAATCTGAATAGAGCCTAGTAGATCTCCAGATGGAAGATGCTTATTTCTACTGTCTTGTTTCCTTTTCTGTTTTAGAATTGATCTGCCAGGGGACCAGGTAATCAAAGTAACGCTGGGAAGGTTGCATTTTAGTGAAACAACAGCAAATAATATGCGAAAAAAAGGGAAACCTAATCCTGACCAAAGGTATTGTTGTAGCTAGTTGACCTGTGTGTGTGAAGGGGAAAAGGGAACATCTAGTTTTGTATGGGGCTGATGTCTGTGAAAAATCTCAGTGTTGCCAACTGGTGTGATTTTTGTCGCAAATTCTCTGATACTTGGTGTCTGCTTAAAGGCCTTTCTGCTTGAATCACGTGATAATATGAAAACAAAAGAAAAGTAAATGTCTCATCCTCATAGTTAAAGATTATTTGAGGAAACTATAACCAGAATGTTGACTGATGGACTCATAAATCAGGAAGCAAATGAAACAAAATAAGCTGTTTTCTTCTGAGACAGGACTTCGCCTTTAAGTCTTTATTACTGAAACTTGTCAAAATCACTGAAATCTTTGTTGCCTTTTCAGTGACTTTTGGGGGTTGAAAGGGCATATTACTTGAGGGTGGAGGAAACTTTTTTTCTTTCACATTGTAGTATAATATAAATGTGTTTTAAAAATGAACATCTGATTGTCTTTTTGTGTGTCAATAATAACCACTGTATTTAAAACTTTTAATGTTTTATGTGATGAGGCATTATTTCAATTATTATCTTCATTAAAAAATTAGATATTTCATGCTGGTGGTTGGACTGTATGCAGTCTCTCAGGACCAATTCTACTTACTTTCTGCACACGTCTCTGAAAGGATCATTGTGAGGGTAGGTAGAAAATATATTGCTTTCACATGAACAATGTTTACTGTTTTGTTATTCACAACGGACTGTTGGAAGGGTCATACTTGGTCAGTGAAAATAAATATAAACTCAGAAAGCTTGAAAAAAGTATGTTGGATAGTTAATTCTTTTTTTTGTCATTGTCTTACTATAAAGGTTTCAATATTTTAAAAATAAGGTTACAGAAAACTTTAAAAAACCCACTTGATTTGAATTGCAATACAAACTACCTTCAATTTGGGGTTGTTTTGAGTGGCAACAAATTCTTGCATATGCCAGGAAATGCACAAATGCTTTATTTAGCTAGATCCTTAATTTTGAAATGAGTGGAAAAAAAATCAAACAAAAAGGGTCAAGAAGGTGTACTAGGGTAAGACTTATTGCTTGAATTGTTCAGAGTAGTTGAGCTCTTAGCTTGGTGCTTATAATAAATGTTACAAAACAACAAGAGTTCCATATTTTTCCTCAAGGCCTTTAATTCTAAATGCCCCACTCCACATTTTCCTTTTAGATCTCAATATTTGCATAAAGTTAGGGCTTAGAGTTAGAAGAGAGAAAAAGCTAAGAGCGTGAGTATGGCTGTGAATGGATTGCCAAAGGAAGTCTGGGAGTGGCAAGAGATTTCTGGTGTGGGCGTTTTTTCGTCTTGCCTGTGTATGGTGGTGCTTGTTGGCAGCTCAGCCCTTTTCTGGGGTTAGGGTTAGGGTTCAGGTTAGGGGAGAGAGAGATGGCAGTGCCTGGTTGTGAGTGTCGCTGTGAGGGGGTTGGCAGAGGAAGTCTGGGAGAGGGAAAAGATTTCTGATGTGGGCACTTTTTTGTCTTGTCCATGTTGGCAGCTCAGCCCTTTCCTGGAGTTAGGGTTGGGGTTGGGGTATGGATTTGAGCTAGGTGAGAGAGAAATGGCAGTGCTGGGTTGTGAGTGCCTGGGAGAGGGCAAAGACTTCTGGTATGGGCACTTTTTTGTCTTGCCTGCGTAAGGTGATGCTATTTGGCAGCTCATCCCTCTTCTGGGATTAGTCTTAGGGTTAGAGTTCAGGTTAGGGGAGAGGGAAATGGGAGCCCTGAGTTTTGAGTGGGGCCATGGAGGAGTTGCCAAATGGCTTTTCAGAGTAGGGAGATGAAACGTAAATCAAATGTCAGTTGATTTTTTTGTCTAAGGTTAAACCTCAAGCTACAGGTAGGGTTCAGAGATAGAAAAATCCCAGGGCAATGCTAAGGGGCTTCAAAACTGTGTTGGATTTTTGGGTTGTCTTCCTTTGCATTGAGGCCTTGACTTTTCATCTTTTGAAGCAGACATGGAAAGATGGAATTTATTTAATTCCTGTACATTTAGCTCGTTTACATAGTTGTCCATTTATCTCCTACAGTAGTGCTTTAATCCCACTTTCTCTTCTGCAGCAAGCCGTGTTATGAAAGTAGTCCGTTTGCTAATTTAGTAAGATCGTACTTTTTATATAGCTTATTTAGTGTCAGCCGTATTGTTACCCTAGGACATATATACATCTATATAAGGTTTAGAAACCTGCATTTTTCTTCAGAATGTTACTTTATGTTGTGTGCAACTTTCACTGAGCAGAGCTCTTTGGATATATGCGTGAACAGATTATGTGAGTTTTTTTGAATGGTAATCTTGTAAATGAGAAGATACTGTGCAAACCTGGCTACCAATGCCAGCCAAAGAAACAGCAAGGAAGAAAAATGGAAACAACACCAGAGGCTCATGCCACCGATGAAACTGTCAACAATAAAAGAGTGAAGGGGGGAAAAAGGTGGTTTTCTAGAAGTCTGAAAGAGTTGTGAATGGTCGGGTACCAGGAACCGGCCACTGGTTGCTGTAAAGTAACAAAGCTGGGTGAGTGCCCTGTGATAGAAGGCAGCTAATATTCTGGCCTTTTGCTGTGGTCAAGCGTAACATTAGAAAACTATCAGCTGAGTAGTGGTTCTCAGGCATATGGGATCGTACTCTAATTAGGGCAAAGAGTAATAAGTGGGCAACACTGTTTTGTGGACCGCAAAGCCTCACTCAAACTCCAGCTTTTTTAAATGAGCATGGACTTTTTGGCCATGGTCATACTTTTGTTAAGGCTCGAAATGTAAAGCTGAAATTCAGAGTTCTTTTAAAAAACATAAATCAACAAAATTAATTATTAAACCTGAATGCCTTTTCTAATTATATGCATTTCTTTCGATGCCTTTTTTGGTATTCTTTGAGAGATCCTGTTTCCTTGACATGGTATTTCTAACATGAGTTAATTTTAAACGTCAACAAGGATTTTAGAGAATGTGTAGTTATGTTTATTCTGGGATACCTCAGTGAAAATGACATTTGGTTAACTACATAGTAGATTATTTGTTTTTACAGATGGTGACCTGTACAGAGACTGCAATTTTTAAACATTGCAGTTCTCTGGAACCTAGTGGATAGGTTGGGAATGTGATTCAGTATCTCGGCTACTGAATAAAAGCAGAATTCAGTCGGTAGCTGTGACTTGCAGCAATTGCTTTTACAAAATGGGTTTGTTCCTATCTGTTTCATTGAGCAGTGTTTTCTACCAGTCCAAAACCACAAATAATTGAAAAGAAGTTATCATTCTGTTTTCTTTTTGAGGCATATTATTAAGGCTTATGCTATTCAGAGTGTGTCACATGTTTTGATTTAGTAACCGACTTAATTTTTTGTGTGTGCATTTTGTTGCGGAATATGTGTTGTGGAACACCCGCAGAAGGAAGTTAAGTTTGCTGCGTGTTTCATTTCAGCGCTGCACTGCAATGAGCAATGCCTGGCTCCTGCTTGCTCCTGTCAGGCTGCTTGTTCCTATTCCACACTTCCCCCTGTCATGCTGATATGATTGTTTTTCTGGGGTCCTGTGATGAAGTGTAATGGGGGCTGGTCTGGGTTAAATAGACATCTAATTTTGCTGCTGGTTAATTTTCAGTCAGGCTGGTTCCTCTATCGGGTATCAGCAGAAGTGAGTGACGAGGTCGAGATGGGTGATGAGGAGCGGGCTGCCTACGCTGGCCCTGCTGCGGAAGGGGTACATAAGCCATGGCCCTGGGTCATAGTTTGGTAGTGCCTTCCTCCCCCTGCCTTGCAGTTCTTCCTTCCCTCGGGTTGCAGAGGTGGATGTCTGTGGGTAATGGATTAGGCCTAAAAAGAAAATCTCAGGCCAGCAAAACCGCACCTCTTCCGAGACCACAGCTCTCCAGCAGATGTTTTGATGCTGATGAAAAGGGTCGGGGTTGGGAGGGGGGAGCATCACTACCTTTTCCTGGCTCCCCTCTTGCTCCTCTTTTTAACATTACTATTGTGGAGCACTGCTCTGCTATGCTAGGTGCTTTGTAAACAAAGAACAAAACAAATCCCTTCCACAAGTGGTTTACAGTTAACTTTGTAACTCTCAATTTAGGTAACGTAGTTGAACCTCTGTTTTCCACTTAGTTGTTTTCAAGAGTTATTTCTAGAAACCTGCAGTCCACGCAGTTTATGGTTTGGAGCATGTGCTTTAGGAGATGAGGACCTGTAAATTCAGTCCAAGATCCCCTCTGATCTGTTCAGCACAGGCCTTGGATACATGCTGGAAAAGCTTGTTAAACAGCATGTAAAAGAAGGAAACCAGTATGGCCAAAGCCTAGCAAAAAATATTTTTGAACTGCATATGGCTTATTTTCTCTTTTGTAATTTCCAGCCCTCAGGCTGGAAGCTCAGCTAAAATTTACTAGCAAATCAAGAATGATTACGTGGCATAATTTCAAACCTAAAATTTGAAAAGCTTTGGAGCTTCATGATTTAACTTAATATTAAAGTATAATAGAATTCAAGGGAACAAACAGTGAGGCCAAGGCTGTATGTGCAGAAGCAATTACTTAGAAGTGACTCCACTCTTTTTTTTTTTTTGTGTTGGTGTATTAAAAAGCTCATGAATGCAATTTAAATATGAAAGATTTGGCATTTGATTTTCACCAACAAATGGGTTAAAGCAACAGGCACATCTGTGTTATACTATATCTATTTTTTCCAGGCATCTAACCCAGGGCAGTTTGAGAATGACAGTGATGTACTGTGGCAACGAGGACACGTTCCAGAGACGGTAGTCTATCATGGTCGAGTAGGAATTAACACAGACGCACCAGATGAAGCGCTGGTTGTCTGCGGAAACGCAAAAGTTATGGGTAGAGTCATGCATCCATCTGACAGCCGAGCAAAACAGAATATCCGAGAGGTAAAGGTTGTGGAGTATTTAAGACATTTATATTTGTACTGCAGCATATGTATGGATCATTGTTCTGACACATGCAAAGTAGCTTCTATATCCTGGGTGTGCTGAAATGCAGGCCTAAGGAAAATGGGTGTATGACTGCTCTGTGGAGCTGTTGCCTGAGGACTTTTGAAAAGGCAGACTATAGAGTTTGGAGGTACCTGTATAAATGGGAGTTGTAAGACTGAAGGGTAGCTGGGATCACCAATGCAGATAAGGCTCTGCTAAGGAAGAATGGAAAGACTGTCAGTATGTTCCAATGGGACGATTGGCCAAGTGGCTGTATCAGACTTGCTGCTAGGTCAGTGGAGTCCTCGATGCCACTTTGCTTCTTAATGTTTCAACATGTCAATCCTGGTATTTGTGCAATTAGGTTGATACAAACGAGCAGTTGAGAAGAATAACGCAAATGAAGCTGGTGGAGTATGACTACAAGCCTGAATTTGCATCTGTTATGGGAATAAGCAATACTCATGAAACAGGTATTCAGTCAGCTCTGTTCCAGTTTTTCATTTGCTTCAACTGTTGTCTAATGCCTGTGTTTCATCTCTTAGGATATTATAATTGTATACTTCTGCTATGTTTCTCTTGTGAAATGAAAATGCCAAAATGAAGCATTTCTGGTGTTTCTCTGGTGTGTTTCTAACTTGTATTTCAATTTTTAAAGATATAATACAGTAAACCTATTGCACAGGTTTAATGAAAATGGAGTATTGGAACAGAAACAATTCTGTTGTTACTAGGGAGAAAAGGGAGTTCTAAAGGTTTCTGTTTGTTTTCTGTTTTGGGATAGAAAAAAGTGAAATCCTGGATTTTCCTACCACAGGGAAGTTCCAGATCGTGCTTGGCCCTACCTGTAGCTTTTGGGAACAGTAACTCGAAGAAAGCACACAAGCATGGTCACTGCATGTCTGGATGTCACTGCATTTCCTGACTTTAGTTTCTGTTATTTTGTAAACAGGAATAATAGCCCAGGAAGTAAAGGAGCTTTTACCTCAAGCCGTTACAGAAGTTGGAGATGTTGCTTGTAATGATGGAGAAAAAATAGAAAACTTCCTCATGGTTGATAAGGTATGATTTTCAGAGAGAAAGAGGATGTGTGTATTTAGACTGTTCCCTTCTCATATGGAGCTATAAACATATACTATGTTTTATACAAAGATGTAGACCAGTACATGTATTTACAAGAATGATCTTGGGAAAATCATTCAGGAAAACTGAACTCCCAGATGCTGGTAAAAGACTGAATCTTTTGATAATAGAAAGATTTTACATTAACAGCTCTCTATAGTAATAAACAAACATACAATAGAAGCAGTAAAGGCAAGGAATTTAAATTAACTTTGCTGAATAAAGTTGGATAAAGATTTCAGAACATTGGTCCTACAAGTGGGCCTCCAAAACATTCTTTTGCATCTAAGTGTTTAAATTAATCAGATGCTTCAGAGATAAATTAAGCAATGGTGGCATTTTATCTGTTAAATAAAAACTTCCATACTCTAATAGCCTGTGTAATCTCTTTATACCAAATGCAAATGCTAATTCTGTGTGCTCTGTGGGAAATTTCTTTGACTATCTTAAATCCTTATTATAGCTTCAAAATCATATATCATGAAATGTTTGTGGCACACAAAATAATTACTGTGCTCCTAGGCTGGAAACAAAGCCTTCTATTGTCCTGTGCTCTCTCCTCCTACGTTCCATGTAGAATAGGATCGTAGGAGACTAATCAGTCTCAGAGACCAGTAACGCATGATTGCAGGGAGCACTCATCCAGAATGTTACTCAGAGCAGCTCCTCTGTTGAGCCACTGGTTCACTGCAGGTCAGGGACGACTTCCCAGCTTCATCCCACTGACAGGTGATAATGGGAAGAGGGAAGTTTTACAGATGGGTAATTTTGTCTTGTCTGGGTTATGTCATGAATATGAGCGTTCATTATAGTCATGTATTCTTTCTTTGTTCTATGGAAAGCACAAGTTTACACCACCAAACTCGGAGAAAAGATCTATCAAAAGTATTGCTTGTCTTGTTTTCTTTTTATAGGCTACAAATAAGTTAAATTAATAGCTTAAATCTGCTAGGCTATATTCCATATAAAGCAATCACCAGTGAAACACATTGAATAAAGCTGTTGAAAGCACACTTTCTTGAGCCTCCCAATACTCATGCTATCCACAGGAGTGATATCAGGTTTCAGGTGGCTAACAGGAAAATGGGAGGCTACTGACAGTAACAGCAAACATGCTCCATATGCTGCTTGTGGCTTACAGCTCTTATTCCACTCCCCTTCCCGCCCCCAGGAGTGCTGAAAGTGGTAAGGTGTTTTTATCATCATTCAGTGTGTGAATTCAGGTCAAGGGAAGCATGGAGATCAGCCAGGCTAAATCAGATCATTTCCTAGCACAACAGTTCTCCTTTCTGTAGGAGACCAGAATATTTTTCATCCTTCTGTTCCATCTACCATTTAAAGGATATTCCATTTATCTCCAGACTAAGTAGGGCTGGGAAGGATCTAGTTTTTCTGTACTTTCAGAAAGGATGTGTGCTGCTGCTCATGGTGCGTGTGCAAGTTGATGGATAGGATGGGGACTTTCAAAAGACTCTTCTGAACTAAATTATCTACTACACAACTCTGCATTCTAGACTAAGTCATCTATTACACAACTTGGAAGAGTAAAGGATTGAACTAGGTGACTGAAGTACTTTTAATTTTTGCTCGTGGAGTCTTATCTAGCTGAAACACAAGTGAAGCCATGGGTTACCTCCTACAGGATGGACAAATGGACCTTGTGTCTTTTTGAACACTGGGAGTGGGACTTTCTAGAACCACTGTTGAAAGGGGAACTGTTAGAAAATTTGCTCTGTTTGGTCAGGGTTCCAGCCTTTCTAGCTGATTTCTAGATCCTCACTGAAGAACAACGGTGCTGACACTGGGCTCGTTTTGCCCTTTAGCCCTTCCTGTTACAATGTGTGACAGCTGCAGCATCATTTGCCCACAAAACTGCTTTGAGGTGGTCAGTTTTCTTCTGACAAGACTTTTAGACTTGGGCAAGTGCACTTCTAATGTAATGAAAAAAACTGCTACAAAATGTATCTGATGGAAATACCTCTTTCTGCTGAAACATCACACAGAATACTGTCTCTCACAGTGCCTCATAAGGCAGTGCTGTTTGGGCCCATTGTGTTCCTTTTGTCCTCCCTAGCCTAGGAGTCTGGATAACACTTGACAGGATGCACTCCAGTGGTGTGACCTAGGAAACAGAGAAAGCCTACTGCACCCTACAGGATGTCATTCTGCCATGGATGTGGCCCAAGCAGGAA